AGTTACCTCGCTCGTGAAGGTTTTGGGTCTTAGGGCTCAGGGGCTTAAGTAGTATGTGATAGTATAGCCTCTATGTACGTAATCCGAGAAGGTTAACCTGAAGTCCGTCTAGGAAGCTGGACAAGCACATCACTCTTGCTCCACTGCACGAGGCAGAACCTTCTACTATCCAAGCTTTGAACACCCTAAACCCTAAACCCTAAACTTCAACCACAGCCAGAAAGCCCAGGGCCTCAAACCATGAATCCGTAATCTAGAAGCCTAAATAATTACCAACAATTAGGGTTTCTACCCCAAATCACGGACCTCGAAACTATTCAAACCCCAAAGTTACCGGACAACCCAATGCCGAAGCCCCCAAAACCCTAAACCCTAAACCCTAAGTCCAAGACGAGCTCGTGAGGAGGAGTTGCCTCCACTCCAGACTGGCTGCAGTCACGCCTCCCCGATCTGGCTACCGGGCACAAGGGTGGTTCGGACAAAGTACAGTTTAGGAAATTAGTATATCATACACACACATGTATATATATATATACATACATATATATATATATATATACATATACCCTGCATTATAGGTACATGACCGTGCTTTTCTATGATACTCAAGACGACAGAGTCGACAGAGTGCTACAAGCATCAGAAAGGAGATGGCAGGAACGACTTGCAACAGCCGTACATGCAGTTGGAAAAAGGACCATCAAAAACAGTTTAGATAACAAGACAGTTTTGATCGTTGGGGGGTTCTTGCCGGCCGAATACGTTTAGGGGTCGGAATACCTAGTTTTTTTTGTGGTCCTCTATAGGATCCGAAACATTCTTGCTCTACCCATTTTAACTACCTACCATACTTAGCTTAAGCTTAAACCCGAGACGTCTAAGCCTTCTGATGCTTGAACTGAGGTCATGCATGAACCTTAGCCCCCTGCCTTAGGATCTCTCACAGCCGCGACACCGCCGGCGCTTCGAGGACATGTCGCTGGCTGATGAATAACACTGAGGGCTCACAGGGTCCATGCGGTTTTGAATTTTGAAGGCTTGGGGTTTGGGATGCTCACCAGCATGCCTTCTTGGTGAAGCTCAGAGCTTCACTGTAGCAACAGTGATATCACGAAACAGCAATGGGAATACGAAGACTGGTAGTAGTTATGATTTGATGCTATGTCAGTCAGTCAGTAGTAATGACGTCAGCAAAGCAGCTGACAAGTGTCCTGCAAGTCACGGCTCATAGAGTTTTTCCGTGTAGCGTGGCGGCTCTCCTGACGTAGTTTCCTCATCTTTGCAACCCCATCGATTTAATAATATGGGGGCCTTAATAAGTAGAATAGGGTTTGGGGGTATATTATACTATAACTATAACAAGGAACCTCCAAAACCCTACTCGAATTATGAAGGCTCCTACATTGGGGTTTAGGGGTTTAGTCTCAGGTCTTCTGCTGCAAGCTGCAGGGCTGTGGGACGATGTTTTCCGCCGATGAGACGCTTACTGTGCAGGGTTTCTAAGCGAGGGTCCTTTACTCATAGGCCCCATAATAGTTCCTTTTTGGGATTACCTTATAGGATTCTATATATGAACCCCAAAAAGGAACTACTCCAGGGCCTATGGGTAGACATGGATGGCCGACCTTACGAGGCTACGCATGCCGCTGGAGGAGGCTGTGCAGAGGACTTGCTGCGGCTTTTGTGCGCGCTCGAGGTGTTAGATCTTGCAGGCGGCGGATGATGCTGCACCGTAGTTTGTTTTATCTATGTGCATGTGTGCGTGCGTGTATGCATGTATGCATGTATGGATAATGAATGCATGTACGGATGTACATAATGAGTGCATGTATTTATGCATGCATGCATGTATGTGTGCATACAAACGAACATTCCCGACGACACAACAGGAATAGTTCGGAGTTCCAAAATGTGTCATGAACTTCGTTCGACAAAAACACAAGGCGTGGCTAGGACTCAACCGGTTTTTTGAAGGAGTTGCCATGTTTCAGCTGAGCAGATGCACCAGGCCACAGCCGAAACCCTCAACCCTAAACCCTAAGCGAAACTTGAGCTGTCGACCACTTTGAAAGCACGAAAAAGTTCAGACGTCGTACTTCATCAAGGGAAAGGGCTGATGCCCCTGAGGCCACAACATAACGAAGACTAGTCCCCCTCACCCTAATATGGGGGCCTTGATAATTACACCTATACTATCTTGGGTGGCTCCTGATTATGGTTATAGTAAAATAGACCCCAAAAGTCTTTTCTAATGATTAAGGCATCCACCTTATTCAAAGTATTTTGGGCGCTATATTGCATACTCCCTCAACCACAGAAAAGGATAGGATTTAGACCACGACTGCAGTCCTTCGTTCTGCGGTTTTAGCATGAGAGTAGTTCTCTAAATTAGGCTCCGTTTTTACGTCCCCATTATAGTACGGCCCCCTTATAATAAGGACCCTAAAAGGGACCCTAATTTAGACAACTACCCATGAAGATTTAAGAGATTTACGGGTTTAGCATTTCGGGGTTTAGGGTTTACGGCAGTTAGGGGCTTCGGGTTTCAGGGTTTAGTATGCAGGGTTCGGGGACTCAGGGTTTAGGGATCCTTCCTTCCGTGAAGGCCTCGAGAGAGCATCTTGGTCACTGAAACCTGAACCTGCATTCAGCATCCTTAGTATAATTAAAGGAGACTACAGGTGGGGAGTTTAGGGTACATAGGGCTTCTATAAGGCTTCCGTAAGGTATATGGACCTTCTATAAGGCTCCTAACACGGTAACTACCCACATGAAAATGTCCTAGGTATAGGGGTCGCAATTTATGCTCGAAGTATTCCCCTCTAGCCCCTAACGTAAGGATAGTATAACCCAAAACCCTATCCTAATCATTAAGGCCCCAATACTAGCCCCAGACTGCTGGAAGGATGAGCTCGCCCATAGCTGATTGGAAAGCGCAGGAAAAACTGTGTCCTGGCAAATTTGAAGTCGGAAGGGGTTTAGCAGGGCAGGCGTGTTTGGAAGTGGGAGCAGCCTTGCGGCAGCTGTGAGATCTCCGCAGGTTTGAACAGGCAGGGTCGTGTATGAAATCCCAAAGGTCTCCCTTTATAGGGTGACAGTATCTGGGTGCTTCTCATAGGCTGCTATATCAGGATTGCTATAATAGGGTTACTACGATTGGGTTCTACATTGGGGTTACTATAATCGGGCTCCTAAAGGCCCAAAACCAGGCTCTCCGTTGCACTGTAAGTCAGCATCCATGGCCAGAGCGCAGGGACGAACCCATTGGAGCAAGGTACCCCAAACCCTAAACCCTAAACCCTAAGCCCTAAACCCTAAACCCTAAACCCTAAACCCTAAACCCTAAACCCTAAACCCTAAACCCTAAACCCTAAGCAAGCCTCAAACCGCAGAAGATGGTCCACTTTTGTTACAGAAAGGGACGCTGTGGGGCGCCCGTTTTTCCACTCATGTAGTTTTGTGTTTTGTGTGTTTTACTTACATCTGTCGTTTTGTATGTTTTTAGTTACATCTGTTCATATTCTTTTTGATCTTATAGTGATTACTTTACATCTAGACTCTGCACCGCGAATCTTGCGCTGCATTAATTTATTTACTCTAGTTTTCAGGGCGTCCCACCCTCTTTTATTAGTTGTCCAACAATCAAGGTGGCACAGGTGCTATCGCAATACAACACCGTATACTCAAAACCCTCCAAAGCCTGTACAGTATCCACCTTGCGTTACCATGGTGGTTAAAAGGCTTAGGCTCTACCAGGGCATCCACGGTACCCTTACTAATTCAAATGCTGGAAACATAGTTGACCGGCTGATTTTCAGACTTTACGGGTTAGGATTAGATTGGGCTCGAACCCCGCCTTTCTGATAGACCGGGGGCAGGCGATCACGGGCAGGGAATGTTTGGGGAACTTGACTTGCAGCCAAGTATTTTGGATTTGGGGTGTTCGCGCGCTTTGGAAGGATTCCGGCAGTGATCTGAGGATTTGTATAAGCTTGCAGACTCCTCCTCAATGCCCAGGAATTCGACATACGAGGTGCGCTCGGCATGGATCATGCGCTGTATTCAATCCTTAGCCTGCTCCAAAAGGGAAGGTTAAGGGTTCACGGTTTAGGGTTTAGGGTTTTAGGATTTCGGTTTTTTGGTGTAGTGTTTACGGTTTAGGGTTTAGGCTTTTNNGTTTAGGCTTTTAGGGTTTCGGTTTATTGTTTTGGGTTTCGGGTGTGAGGCTTGCAGGCTTCAGGGTTCTATGTGTGCGACAGCGATGAGGCTTGGGAGTGGGATCGGTTTGGTTTTGTGGAGTACCTAAACCCTAAACCCTAAACCCTAAACCCTGAACCCTGAACCCTAAACCCTAAACCCTAACTTCAGAGTGCGGGGTCCTTCTTGGCGTGGAGGCTAGCCTCGTCTGAGATCCCGGCTCAGACCCTGGAAG